TCGCACTTTTCCTTTTCACGGTCTCTCGAACGTCGTCTAACTACTATATGTCTGATTATCCCGATATGAAATTGTCCAGCAACTTGCTCTTCCTCTCGTCCTACTCCCACCTCCTTCCATCCACAACAACGAACCATCCCCCTTCCTACTCTGCCTGTTCCTCCGTAACAGTTTCACACCCTATACAACCGAACTATCCATTCACTCAGCCGTTTGGCAGGGCCAGGCATGCCGTAGCGGTTGCTTGTCCGATGCAAGGCACTGCAGTTGCAGCTACAATTCCCGTGTGCATCGGTAAGGAGCAGTAGTCCGTGGCATACTGTGCGAGAGAGCACGAGAGGCGAAATGGAGCTGCTAGCTAACTATACGTATATATATATATGACCTCGTGGCTCCCGCGTGTGGTAATAGCGGTAGCTACGGTGTACCAGTCAAACGCATAGCGTATTGATTTTAATATCTACGCCACCAAGGCACAGGCGACCATAAGGCTCGAAGAGCAGGCGAAAACCACGCTGGATAGCTGACTATTGGAATGTGTAGCAAGGCAGAGTCACTGTTGGTTACCAGAGAGTTCCGGAAGCTGAGTAGTTGGCAAATAAGAATAGGCACTTGGTCGGCGATAGAGAGCGATTAGAGGATAATTGTGAATTTCTAGGTGTCGAGATTCGTTCTTTATCTGTCGGGATTCTTTAGATCTCTGTGATTTCTGTTTATTGTTGTGTTGGTATTTTTGGGATAACGATGTCGAAGTGATAATCGCTGATTTTGATGAAACTTTGAAATATTCGACACGTATTCTTCCACACTGAAGGGGTGAGAATCTCCCTGAAAATGAAGGATAGTGCACATATTCGCTCTAATATCTCCATAATTATCAGAGATAGAGAAATAGTGTAAATTGAGGAATTCGACTACCTAAAGAGACACAACCTCAAATATTCGAATCCTCAAAAATAGCAGATACCGCATCTCCGCGATAAAACTGTCACAAATAGAAAACATAAAATGTTTCAGAAGGACGAAAAGAAAATTGGTTAATTAAAGCATTATGAAACACGCGTCGGTTGAAGTATTACAGGCAGTAAAATAAAAATCGAACATATTTGACTCGTGACACTTCTCTCACGGGGGTTGCCTGCGTGTCATCCGTATCGTAAGCTCGGGGGATAGTCAGTCCGCTATCCTAACAATCTCTTTTCCTGTTGTCGTCTCTCATCGAACGTGAAACCGGCATTTTGGATCCGCGTGTTCCATCCATCAAGGGGTAGATTCGATGGGGTTATGGGGTGAGAGAACCGATGACAGGAGGACGCGCGCTACAAAGGGACCGAAGGACGCTGATACGTTACCGAACCGTGGAGCGAGATGACGCTTTTACAACACCCATAAACGCCTGGTGCTGGCGAGACGGTGAGAAGGCACCTGTGGCTGATGCACGGCGCGACGTTGCCGCAAAGTCTGCCGCTTTGCGTACACGCCAGGCGACGCGTTAAGGATCTATGGAAATTTCTTGGCTGCGGTGCAGGCGACGGTGGCTGCGTCGACGACGGCCATTGGCCTTCCGACCACCGCGGTGAAAATTCTCTCTCTCTCTCTCTCTCGTTCTCATGTACACGGTGACACCGAAATAGCTCTTTCGAACCATGGAAAATGGTCAGAAAACTCTTCCTTTGACCTTTAACCCGAAACTCCTTTGGATTTTTGAAAATGTAGTTTAGGATAGCGATACTGCCGATAGTCTACCAAATTTAGACTCGTTTGACAGTCTACGAAGGTTCGAAATTATTTTCGGTAATTTCTCTAAGTAAGTTTCAAGCATTCTTACCGAAAGTGTTTGTATCTCGGAAAGCAAGGACCTATGGAGCATCTCTGGACCTATGTGAGGAAAAATTTTAAGGACCAAACGTGGCTCTATGCCTTTTAATTTCCTCGTGTTATCGTCCTTTTCCATCCTGAGAAAGGGTAGAACAGGGTAGCAAAGTTGAGTCGCCTATTTCACTGCCACCCTGTATAGTTAAGGATACGAGGCGGTGTTTTAACTCAATTTTCCGATACTATCCGAAGGAGAGGGGCAATTTGCACGGGGTCCACCGTAAGAGAACGTGGTTAACGGGCGCGTTGTTAAAATTGTACCGGCTCCGGTATAATTGCACCCTTAGACCGTTTCTGAATGTGGGCTAACGAGTAACCGGAAGTACAATAGTTGCCGAGGAACACGTCGCGGTTGGAATTAATCTGATTTGGCGAAGGGGGTGTGTGGACGAAGAGGCAAACGGAGGTTGCAGTTTGGAGAATCTAATGAGAATTAATCGAGTTGGAGTATTAGACGATTGATGCGTACTCGGAGACAATATGAACAGGGTGAACTTTCTAACGGTCCAACTTGTAACTACATCGTAGACGTTCATTTCTGACGCCCGGTTTGGAAAATTTACAACGAAGAATTCGTTAATAGGGAGAATTTTAGTAGTCCGTTTGCTCGAAGAGAGAGAGTCGTGTTTGGAATATAATTAACGGTCAGAGGCTTAAGTTGAAGCAGGCAGGCAGTTCGTGTTTGCAATGGTAGCTCGTTCAGTTATGTCTGTTATTCTCTGAATTTTGGCTGTGTCGAGGGACGACGACGAGGATACAAAATTGGTGAAATCGTAGAAATATTTTTCACAGGGAAATTGATGGAATAGTATTTCGTTTCACCTGTACACGTTCATTCATATTCACGTTTCAGGAATATCGCTTTTTGATTCGTTCCACTTAATTGCACGCAACTCTCGCCGTGTAACTTTCCGCGGATGGAAGGCAGTACTTTCCACAGTGGCAGTCGTAAACGCTTTTGTTCGCGCAATATTGCGGAACCGCTTCAGCTTGATGAAGCGTCGTTATTCTCGAGTGAGTCAATCTCAATGACTATCTATTTTGCATTTGCACAATTTACGTGAAATCGCGATAAACTTTAATATCCCTTTAGTTTTCCTCAGTTCCTTCCAATCTGTCTACATTTGCTACACAAACATTTATTATACGCACAATATTTCTGTTCGGAAAAGCGAACGAAATTATCGCAACTGTCTGGCGCAATGAACCAAATGGAATTTCGGAAATGCGACGAAAATGTAATCAGGAGTTACGCGCAAAATAGTATAAACGAACGGGCAAACTGTATTCCAAATAGAATAAATCGTGAAAGAAAAATGAACAAGGATCAAGTTGAAATGCTTATCATGTTCACCATTGCGAAAATTTCATTGGAAAATTTGTCGAGATGTCAGAGCGTGTTTGCTTTTCTCCCTCTCCACGATGTATGTAGCTAGGCCATAGCGTTAGGAAAAGTTAATCGAATAAACCGGTTTCGCGAACATTTGTGACGCGTGTTCGAACAATGGTGAAGTTCAGAGCCCGGGAACGTATGAATCCAACGAAACCGGCCACGTCGCGATGAGTACGCGATAAAACCAATGTCGACAACGTGTTTGCAGTTTTATGGGGTGTCGGCTAAATGCAACTCGGTGTACGGACCTTAATAACTCTCGCGTGATACGAGAATAGAAATACGCGGCGTGAGATTTACCGGTTCGGCGCTGCAAGTATTCCATTCTCTATAAACGACGTGATACGCGTGACCGAGAAATTTACATCCGCTTCTGTTTAATTGAATCGTTTAATGATCAAACCGTCCGAAAAATATAATTATCGGAAATATTGAATCGCGTCGCTGTCTGAGTGAACAAGATGGCATGTTAACGAAGTGAAATATTAAGCTTCGTTGAAAAAGCTTCCGGGGACAAATGAAGTAAAATGGAAATTATTTCAAGTTTTTTTTTCGCCTGACTAAGTCTTCGTCTCTCGAAAAGTCTTTCTTATTTTTCTTCCTTTTTTTTTTAGGATTTGATGATTATGACGTTCTCTTCTTCTTTTTTTTTTTTTGGTTTTTTTCCTTTCGTCGACGTTGAAACGTTTCTTTACAACGGGCGAAATATATATGTATATAATAAAAACACCTTATATTAAGCTCACTCCGCGCTATTAAGTTTAAGCAGCTTGCGGCGCACCGCAGAAAAGCTATGGCGCTAATAGGATGTACTCGCCTTGTGTACTTGAAACGGGTGAAGCGCGAATTTAGATGCACTGTTCTTAACGCTTCCGCCGTTGGGGAAAAATTTGCGACTGGACGCGGCTGTCCGTGTATTTTCTCGTTATCGAACTGGGAACACGTTACAGCGCGAATTAATCGCGAAAATTATCGAGGTATTAATGAAAATTTCATCGGTTTCGAGTTCGTACATTAACCAGATGTACAGGGTGTTTCGTAACTGGTATTACAACGTTGAAAAGGGACGATTCTCTGTGGAATAGAATTTGTTCGTAAAAAGCTTACTTTTCGAGACAGTTTAAATTTAAAGATGATTTATTATCGTAAAATTTTGCATTTCGCAAACATTTGCGCGGAAAATCGTGTAAATGGAAAGAAGAAATTGAGCTTCGAAACGAGGATTTCACTTTCGATAATTCGTTCGGTAACGCGAATGTAAGTGAAGGAAATCTATGATAAATGTATTTTCTCTACTTATCGTCACGTTGCTCATTAGCGCAGACATAAACCCGCGATATGTATTTAAATCCCCCGGCGTGTGCTCGATGAATTTTTAAATTTAATTATCTCGAAAACTAAGCTTCTTACCAACAAATTTCATTCCACATTTTTCCTTTATTTCCTCGCGTAGAATCACCAGTTACGGGGACCACCCGGTATAAATGAGAGAAACGTTTGCACGGTTTGAAGATTGAAAGAAAACTCGTGGATTTTGTTGGATAGTTTAATCATGTCGTTGGAAACAGCACGAGATATCTTAAGTTTGATCGAGTTGAGTGAATTATTCTGTCTGAACTGTTTCAATCAGTTTATGATAATACAGCAAAGATGATGAAAGTTGCATAACGTAGAATTAAATGGTACTTTGGGAATTATGCATGCATTTAATTCCGTGGCTTTCTGATTACAGGATTAAGGGTTGTTGACGACATTAAGGAGTCTGTTTAAGACGCGGATTCGAACTGCACCGGGCATCTCAACTGTGTATGTCCGAATTTGGTGATTCTACGGTGAGTTTACTTTACTAAATCCCACTGTTAACAATTCAATTCTCCGTTGCTGTTGTTATCATCGATATATGTATACGGTTATCGTGGTTTGTCCACCGGTGAAAAGTTTTGGAAAACTGTCGAACCAACGAGAAATTCTCACCGATTTCGTAGCTACGTTCAATTTTCGCGGCGTGCTATCTTTCTTTGTACTTTACGATCCGTAATAAATGTCTGCGCGATGTTACATCGCAGTCGGTATATTTTTAGCTCGTGATGCTGCACTGCATCTCTGAGTCTAGTAAACATAAACAAGGAATCGCATGTTGCCTCGTCATTACGGATAATATATTATATTGATCGATGAAAGATGGTGCACGTGGAGGATTTTTCTATTTTATCGGAATTCCGAATTAAAACATTCGCTTGGGACGTTTGGAGCCGCACTTGACACGGTGATTTCGCGTCTATTTCCTTTGATCGCTTCACGTTGGAAAAAGCTGCTATAGCTAACGAATATTTTTCAAAGAAATTTTATTTAACTCGTGAAACATCTGTTGTGGCATTTCTGAAGAGAAATTGAGCCATTTGTAGCGTTTTGTAAATTGACTTCGAGACAGATGAAAATCTCAATGACTCAAAAAACCCGAAAAATTCATTCACAATGCGACGACAGGCACGAGTTTTAATCTCTCGATGAAAAAAAAAATTGAATATATATTATACGAATGCAAACGGTTACTTCTTTAAAAATGTTTAACGCCGATCGTTTAATTCCTACGTAAATGTCTATCAGAATTTCCAAAGTTTTTTTTTGTCTCGTACGATTTAAATCTGGCCTAAGGGTTGGATACGGGTTAAGGTTAGTTTCGAGTATTATTAAAGGAAGTACGGAAATTGAAAGTACGAAAATATCGCGGCGATTTTACGTCGGCCACTTGAGCGTAATCAGCGAGTGGAAAAGTTGAGCGCGCAAGTGGGCGCAAAAAGCACTGCTTAAAATTCAAACGTAAAAAGTACAGGCGTGCACACAAAGCGAGAAAGAGCGAGAGAGAGGAGAGTGTGTCCACTGATTCGTGAACGATGATCAGGGGAACCGCGACAAAAGAGTTTAGGGATATATAAAAGCGACTTTATGATACTGGAGAGAGAGAGAGAGAGAGAGATACGGTAGCATGTTGTTGCGACAGTAAACACTTTATTACTGTATCAAAGGGAACGTTTACGAAAATTGGTCACGCTCGTGATATCTCGCGCATCGTAACGCATTAATATCGTATCGTAGAATATTTCGTTTATATCCGCTCGTAACTGTAATTTATTTCTCCAGCTGCAAAGTGTATATTTACGCGGGATGTATAGATCCATTGGTAATATCCAGTTTACTGCCGGGCGTATTTATCAATTGTAATGTTTCACGTTGCAAAATTTCCCCTTTCTGCTAAGTAAAGATCCTCGAGTATCTATTAGAGATCGCATTTATCTGATTTAACGTTCACTCTAAAAGAAAACTAGCCTTTTTGCAAAATGAACCGGTCGATCTGAGAAACGAGAGATTTCTCTCCAAATTCATCCACAATTTCTGGAATACTTTGAATTTACCGCGTTTCAAAGGGAAGTATTAATTTTTCGCGCGGCAGGTGCCCGAATCCATAAAGTTTTCAGGCCCCTGTTAATAAAGGGCTCGTCATCGCGTAAAAATTCATTTTCAAGTGGGCAAAAGTTAGGCGCGAAGTTCCGCGTGGGTGCAATATCGCGCAGGTCGAAGAAGGACAGGTCGAAACTTTTTTACAGCGAATTCAACTTTTAGGACTGGTAAGTCGGGATGAGAGTCATGATAGAGAGGAGGTGGAGGGAGATCGAGTATTGGATTACGATGGAATGATTACCCTTTTAATTAAAAGGGGTGAAACAAGCCAGTTTCGATCGTACGGATTAACTTGCTAAATCTGTGTGTTACAGTCTTATTGTTCGCTTTGTGGAACAGATGTGCGTATACGTGTGTGTGTGTGTGTGGGTGGTGAAATTCGTCGGTTAAATCAGTCGCTCAAATATTTATGATGTTTGCCTGTCGTCAGTCGTGGAACATTTGACATTCGAGAGGGAGGAAAGAGCGATAGTTACCCCGCGAAACCTAATTTCGAGTGCCATGATAAGTCTCCGCGAGCGTAACTCGACTTAATGCAAGCCGAGTATTATTGCCTTAATACCCTTATTTATATTCATCTCCTGAGACGCGGAAGTTGTGCGCCAGGGGTGACAAGGCACAGCCCTTCCTTCGGTGTCACGACAAAAAGCACGGGAATTTTGGCAGATTAAACGAGAAACAGGGGGAGGGAGAGGGTGGTTTTCAGTGTTCATTTCAGACGTGGAGATTGCGCGTGAAATTGCGATTACAGCTACTTGAATTTGTAGACAGTGTTAGAGTGTGAAATAACCGACAAGCTTGTTTTGTCGTACCGGAAAAACACGACTGCGCAAAAGAAGCTCCGCGGTGAAATTAATCGTTCAACGGCTATTAATTTCTTGCTTCGCGATTCTTTCTTCTTTTCTTTTTTCGTTGAAAATTGAAATGCTATACGGTATTGCTGCGTCTCGTAAATTAAAACTGAGGTCAGAGTTGAAAGTATACGCTCCTCGAATTTCGTACTGTAAGGTGAAAGGTTAATGCAACTTCTTACAAATTTTAATACTCAAAAAATCAATCGTCTTAAATAATTCACCTCGATGAAACATTTCACTCCCCTTTTCCACCTAAAAAAAGAAAGTCTCGCGTGAAACTGAATAACCCAACTCTCGAACAATCTGAAAGATCACGTCTGCACAGTGGACACTAAAGAAAGGACGAAAATCATTCTCCACTCTATCAGAAAGAAAGTCTTGCGGTTACCATACCGGGAGATCATTTCGCGAAGCTCGTAGAACGGCTAATAAAATTCCTGTTAAACGACTGACAGAACGTGTTCCCGTGTTGTCGTCACCTGGCTTTTCCCCTCAATGAAATTATAGGGAGAGAAAGGCCTCTGGTGGTGGTGGTGTCGATGATTTCGACGGCGTATTTCATTAGCGATCGCAATTAACTGGATCGCTGTCGGTCGGTTGAGGCTGGGGCGCGCTAGCTAAGGAAAAAGTCCGTGGAAAAGTGTAAAACTGTAAATGTTGTCAGGCGGGAAGCGAAGTTACCGCTATCAGCGAAAAGGGGTAAACGCTTCAGCCCAGTTGGTTAACGCGCCGAGAGAAATCGATGGTTAATGGACAAAGTTGACACCGTTACAACATCCCGAAACTGCTTCGGGAAACTACCGACATTCGTTTCACTTAGGCTGCTTTGCTCGGTTCCCCAGCCTCTCTCTCTCTCTCTCTCCCTTCCACCCCCTGTTCCCGCGTTTCTCTGTATTATCCGATACCCACGCCAGCTCATTCGTTGAACCATCGACTTTTCGGTGGTTCCGTTGCTCTATGAGACAGAACGAAGCGACGGTAGAGCGATTTTATAGACTTTTTTCGGTGTTATTTAATGGCCGTTGGTCGACGGTGAAAATCTCCAACACCGAACGATGGATCATCTAGAGTGAACCGTGGGCGGTATGCTGGAAAGTTGGTGCTTGAACAGTAATTATACGAAATCCGTGAGTAAATTTTACCAAGATAAAATTTGTTTTCGTAGAGTGGACTTTGATCGAGAAGATTGTGAATTCTGATCATTTTTCTCTAGGAGAGAATTGTTTCTTTCCGAGTAGAGATGTTTGAAAATCATCGTATCTCCCATTGGAGAGAATTGTTCAGGATTCTGAGGATTCTGGACTCTGTCTACAGTTTGATAGCTTTCCCTGAGCTCTAACAAATGACAGTTTTCCCTCGGAACTCTTGAAAACTCTCCGTAAAAAGAGAATCGTCGAAATATCGGAACGTCGTCTGAAAAATTGATACGAACTCGTTTGCAAGATTCGTCGTTGTTAATCAACCAACGGGAAATTTTCCTCTAGCCACCAAGTTTCATTCCGGCGTTTCGCGATTGTGGCTTTAAATTGTCGATTTGAAGACGAGGAGGTTCTCGCCACCGGGGCCGGGGCGGTCTTGAAAAGGACGGAGGAGAAAGCAATCAAGAGTCAGTAAAATTTCGGATTCGGAAACGGACCCCCTAACGACAAGCCAATCTTGATGAGTAAAACGGTTCCGACCATCATCAGCCCGTTAGATTAACGGGTCCACGTAGACTGGAACTTCATATTACGTTTCCGGGCTTGTTTGTTTCCTCTCCCGCGCTTCTCGTTTCCGACGTTGCAACTGCCGGTTCGAGAGAGTGTACCACGTAGCGATTTGTCACAGCTAAATGCAATTGTCCCCTTATTTCTTCGATAATTGCGAAATCGGTTGATGAAACTGGCTGGGATACGGGGGAAACACGAATTCCCTTGCTCTCTCTCTCGTATCTCGGCTCCTATCTGATACGTGTTCGCGGTCTCACGTATACATACATAGAGACAGGTGTATACACGGGGAAAAGGAGCGATTAAAAAGGGAAGATTATTAATCGTCGATCGGATTTGTATGGAAAACCGAGTGAGCAGGCGTGTGTCGAGCACTTTTAGATTGAAAACCGAGGTCGAATGAACCTCTTTCATTTACGCGTTAAGCGCGCCGTGCGATGCCTTGCTTCCGATGAATCCAGACGAGAAAATGTTTTTCTCTCTCACTTCCTCTCTTTCTCTCTTTTTCTTGTATACTTTGACTGGGATAAATAGTAATAGGTTTTTTCTTCTTTTTATTTCGTTGATCGTTTAATACTTCCTTAGCGGAGAAACACGTGAATTTGTTCAATTAAGAACTTTCAAAGCTTTTTTCCTTCTCTCTCTCTCTCTCTCTCTCTCTCTCTCTCTCTCTATCGAAGTTATTTTATTAAAATTAGCGAGTTCAACGTTCGATTCTTGCAGGTAAACGAAACTATTTCTTCTTTCCGCCGCGCGCGCCTAACGAAGCGCCG